GGGACCTTTTATGTACTGTGCAAATCTGGAACCGACATTTTTGTCGCAATGATGTTCGCCATGTAACTGAACACTAGCATTTGGTACAGGGTACCTATTGACATTATTGATATCAAGTATCGACTCCAAAAACTGGCTAAGTTTTAAACTCATACCCATTTCACTTGAAGTCCATGAAGCAATCCAGTTTTATAAGCTGAATCCTCATAATCAGATATCAAGTTAAAAAAAAAAGAACTATATAGGGAAAATGTGGTGGGATCTAAAGATATAAAATTGTAGTTTAGTGGAATCTGAGGAAAGAATTAGAAAACCTACCCATACACATTTCAGAACTATAGTCAAACATCAATAATCTGTATAGTGGGAGACAGAATTGTTACTTTTTGACAACAGCAACAATTTTTGGGACATAGGTTTAAAAAAAATTGGTACAATGTACACCGTATTTACATTTTGCCCAAAATAATAACAAAGTTAACATCACAGCAGAAATCAAAACAAACACAAACATAAGAAACTTATACAAGAGAAACATAAAATATTCATTTCACATATACATCTTTGCATTGCTTATGTTACAATGTGATTAAAAATTGTTCAGACAATGTCGATTTAGATAGTGCTTTGTAATTATTGCAGATGTCAAAAGGGTCATTTTCATAAATTATGCAGGTCAAAATTTCTGACCTCAACGTCATGAAAGTGTTTTGCACACTTCTGAATATTATGGTAATTGTGTAAAAGTGAAAATTACTAAATACATGTACAGTGTGTATCAAAACAAATGCAAGCGTACTTAGACGGAATGCCAGACTTAGAATGTGTAACCAACATAGATAATATAGTTGTTATCACCTCATACAAAAAATGTATAGCATGTAAACATGTTTACAAACTGAAAGCAAGAAAGTGTTCAGAATGGACCGACCCAGTAAGCTCCGCCCAGTGCGCACGTGGGCAAATTAACACGTGCTCCTCTCCATTGTCATAACGCTGCATTTTCCTTCCGCGCGCATCATACGCGCGCGCGTGCACGCATGTCGGACTTTAGTGCACGCACGTCGGACATAAATCACTGCTGTGATTGGTCAGAACACCATGGGGCGGTGCTTACTGGATCGGTCCATTGTGGTGTTTACTCGCTAAACACGTTTTTTGTAGGCCTGGCAAATATCCACACAGAGGCAATTAGGCTACCTTTGTCTCAATGCCTAAAATTGAAATCTTGGTCCCATGGTCAATTTAATCTCTCGTGGACAATAACTCATAACTTTTTTCAGAAATTATCAGATTTGGACGTTTGATGTCTCATTTGAAAGTGGAAAGGTGTGTCTTTCAAACCATACCTATATTATCTATGTTGGTTACACATTTACGTCTGGCATTCCGTTATATTTTGTTTGATACACACTGTATACTGCAACACGTACTCCATTCCACTGTGTCACTGTGTTGTGAAAATGTGTACAAATTAACAGTCAAAGCTGATTGAGGGTGTACTGTTTTCACACAATATTTCTGAATGCAGTGTCACTTTTTTTCTATTCCCATTCAAATACATTTGAAATCATCTACAGCGCAACTAAATGGGCACCAGTGTTTAGGGTAAAAGTGAACAGTTTGTATTTGACAAAATGTGATGCGATCAAACTAAAGGAGTCGTTTTGGAGATACAGGCCAAAATAGGGCCACTTCATCACATCACTTTATGACATCTCTTGGTTTTCCAACTTCCATAATTTTTGAACTAAAGATGGTATCAGCATGCGGTTTTCACAGCAGTAATGCTGAGATGGTGCTCTTTTCAAATCTGTAATTAAACATTTTTCTGACCAGGGTCGACAAACGACTCATGTAGCTTGATGGCATCACAAATACTGACTTCAGTAAAAACGTGACAATTGCGAACATGCTCCTTAAAGTGGAAAGCCAAGTGCAATTAGACCCTGCATTTGCACACACAGTCATGTGGTTGGTTACCGCTAACATAGCCTCATAACCACACTGTCCCTTTAAGAACTATTTATAGCATGTGACTGGATTGGGGAGTTAAATATATATTGGCCATGCGAAACTGATTTCCTCATGCAATGTCATGTCACTAAAGGACTGCAGCACTTGGAGGAAATGAAACACTTATGAGCCACCTTAAAAATGGGGGGTTTGCAGGTATTTGGAAAGAGACTAAAATTCTCCTTACAATATTGTTTGTTGCCCTCAAGTTCTCTGCTATAAGACCATTTTGTGGGCCATGGCTTGAGGGTTTGTAAACAAAAAAGTCATGAAAAGGACTGGGAGCCTGTATTTCCGTGAAATTTGATTGAAACCGTGCTCTAAAATTGCTCTATTTTGCAATGGAGTGTAACCATCATTTTATAAAAAGGCGATGGGCTTCAGGACTCCTTTTAGCTGTGATCATCTTTGAAAGGAAATTTCTCCCAAAAGTCATTGAATACCCCCCCCCCCCCCAAAAAAAAAATTGAGCAGAAAGTGAAAGATGATGAAATAAGCTTTAACTTAATGTGTCACTGGGGTCTATGGCAGCTTATTTACTGGTCTGCAACCGAAAGGTTCTGGCATTTGTCCTCTTTCGTTATGGGCTCTGAGCAGGAACTATAGAGGGCGCTCTGCGGTTGACAGCGCCCTCTTTTGTTGACAAACGGGGTCCATGAAAGACAGTCTAGGAAATAACATTTTCTATTAGTGCTGAGGGGAGTGGTTTTCAAATGAACACATTTGCCAGATTTTGGACCAACCACTTTGCTTACATAAGTTGTGACAGATTATGATAGGAACCACAAGTTATGGTGCGAGAATGGGACAAGTATGAACCTCAGACAAAGTTACCGATTATGCTATTTAGTGGGGTTATTTCATTGAGCACACCATCCGCAATGTGAATCTTACGTCCAAAATGACGAGATGCAGTTACGTGGGCTCAACAAAATGGTGACTGCTCTATGTTCCGACACCCCTATGTTCCGACAACCCAGATTGTGTTACTCCTGGTTAGGGTTAGGGTTAGGGTTAGGGTAAGGAATAGGAATATGTGCAGTCGGAACATAGGGGTGTCGGAACATAGAGGTGTAACCAACAAAATAACCAGACAAAAAATTGAATGTATTTGGCAATGTATTCTGAGCCACATTATCTCCTGTACTGCCATTTCTGTTGGTTCATAATATTAGTTATCCCGTGAGCACGAGTGGAACACGGAATATTGTAGTGCACTAGATTTTCCGTGTTCCACGAGCATGAGTGGAACACCGAATTTATCTTCAAGCAAACTTGACGCACAGTAAAGATGGAACACGCGCACTGTACACAAACTTTTCAGCCGTTATCCTAAACATGTGCGTGTTGTACAGCATGGCAGGCGCATAATAGAATAGTGCAATATGCGGAGTGCGGTATCGACCGTAACACGGCTTGTTGCTATGGATCGACCAATCAGGATCGAGGATTCAAGTTTACTTGAAGATAATGACAAATACAGCCCTTAAAGAGGTTGTGGAATGCTCGAAGACATTTCCGTCATTTTTTGGGTATATATGTAGCCTAAAGTGTGATAAAATAAAAACGACTATTGTTTCTGTCATGATATGAGTACAAAGGGTACTTTTGAGAGCTGTTTTTCAGGTCCTGTTTCGACCCGAACGTGCAATTTGTGTAAAAGTCGTCGTTGCGGGCAGCAAACAAAACACAGTAAATCGTGACGTAATAAACAGGACTCGTATATGCTACTCTGCATTGGGAGTCCTGTTTATTACGTCACGATTTACTGTGTTTTGTTTGCTGCCCGCAACGACGACTTTTACACAAATTGCATGTTCGGGTCGAAACAGGCATGACAGGACTTGAAAAACAGCTCTCAAAAGTACCTTTTGTACTCATTTCATGACAGAAACAATAGTCGTTTTTATTTCATCACACCTTAGGCTACATATACCCAAAAAATGACGGAAATGTCTTCGAGCATTCCACAACCTCTTTAACAGGATCCGTCCTACAATCAAGGGCGGATCCAGAACACAATTTTTGGGGGGGCCAAAAAAAATTTTGGTCCCCCCCAAAAAAAGTGGGTCTAAAAAATTACGGGGTGGGGTTAGGGGCCCGTGAGGGCCCCGAAAATTTTTTGGATTCTAGATGCTCTGTGGTGCGATCTGAGGCAATTTCTGACCACTTTAACCAATTTTTTTGAGGAAAAGATGGTGGTGTACTCATTGCCTGCCTTTATTGCGATGTCACATAAAAAAAAAAAAAAATTGGTTTCGTTTTGGGGGGGCCATGGCCCCCTTTGGCCCCCCCCTGGATCCGCCCTTGCCTACAATTTCAAGTGTAGCACTTAGTCCACAAAACTTTCTTTTCAGTCTATAATGGTCTGCTACCTAAATCATGTCTTGCGTATATAACTTTGCAAAATAGCGATTCCTCACGGAGGAGAGTATATTTATCTAACAGTCATTTACCTGAGTGAAAACGCACCACAATCACTCTTTTATCTCGGCTAATCACACCGATACCCAAAGTCCACACACGAAAACATCATTACCACACCATGCACTTCTGACTATCCAACCACGGGGATGCTTAACATCTGAGCGACATTTCAAGGATAATGCTAAATATTGTTAGGGTTCAGGTCATGTCTAAACCCGGTTATGTCTCTGTCTTCACCAATAGGTGCCAACGACTTTTAGAAGGCTTCCAAGTCAAAATCCCTAAGCTTTGGCAAACTTTTCTGCAGAAATTCACAAAAGCAATCGGAAGTTTGAAAGATATTATTAACTGCGATGTCCTTTATGAAAGCGAACATGAAATTGTAACGTCAGATCAAGTTTTTACGCTGCAAAATTCGCAGAAGTTGAACATAAGTTGGGCAAATTTTACAGTGAATGCTTCATGACGTCAAATTCGCTTCGCATTTGCATAAAGTATAAACCCGCCTTAACTGTTGGTGTCCCCACATAGTTCTGACATCACTTGACACAGGAAGATTAGGCTACCTTGGTATTTATTGCCACACAATGAAGTTGAGTGATGTTTGGCTATTCTGTTAAACAAGAGAACACCTACACAGAGGAAGCGTGTGACAATTAAAATCCGTACCTTATTGCATGGCTAGTAATGGCATTGCTCAAAATGTGAGTTGCCAAACAACGGGGCACTATAAAGACAAGTTCCCACTTCCACCATCATAACTTTGAAAGAAGGACGCAGGAGCCAGTGAGCACAACCAAGGAACACAATGACTGGTACCCAGCTCCTTGTACTATAACTTTTAAAGGAGAACAGGGGGAAAAAAGGTGTGGAATGACCTAGTCTTTGTAACGGAGTCTGATCTAGTGAACAAGGGAGTACATTTTGTTAGCAGCTGGAAGGGAGACTAGTTGAGCTCCCCTAGGCCAGACGTTATGAGTCAATGTCTTGGGCATAGCAAACTGCTGAGATTAGTACCGTGATGTCATCTGGTTTACCTCCTGGGGGGGAAAAAAGACAAGAAAAACCAGGGTCAATCCCAAGAAGTGGAAAGAGATAGATGTAGTGTTGTAAATGAGTACATGTACATCACAAGTGATCACATGTGATCACAAGTCCATCACAAGTGATCACAAGTCCATCACAAGTGATCACAAGTCCATCACAAGTCCATCACAAGTGATCACAAGTCCATCACAAGTCCATCACAAATCCATCACAAGTGATCACAAGTCCATCACAAGTGATCACAAGTGATCACAAGTCCATCACAAGTGATCACTAGTCCATCACAAGTGATCACAAGTGATCACAAGTGATCACAAGTCTATCACAAGCGATCACAAGTCCACAAAAACCAGACGTTGTTGCGGAGCGTGCGGGCTCCATTGCACAACGGATGATCTATCCAGACTAACTTGTAATGGACTCTAGGACTACAAAGCACTTCCTACAGATGAGTTGTAGGAATAAGCCAATTGATCACATGTGATCACAAGTCCATCACAAGTGATCACAAGTCCATCACAAGTGATCACAAGTCCATCACAAGTCCATCACAAGTGATCACAAGTCCATCACAAGTCCATCACAAATCCATCACAAGTGATCACAAGTCCATCACAAGTGATCACAAGTGATCACAAGTCCATCACAAGTGATCACTAGTCCATCACAAGTGATCACAAGTGATCACAAGTGATCACAAGTCTATCACAAGCGATCACAAGTCCACAAAAACCAGACGTTGTTGCGGAGCGTGCGGGCTCCATTGCACAACGGATGATCTATCCAGACTAACTTGTAATGGACTCTAGGACTACAAAGCACTTCCTACAGATGAGTTGTAGGAATAAGCCAATTGGCCAGCCTTCCTGAATGCACCTGCACTTGTCACGCTTGATGAACTGACTACCCCAGCAAGGTTCCCGAGGTCCCAGGGCAAACAGTCTGTGACACACACACACAGTTTCCCTGCATTTCACTTCCTCATTGGCAGGGTTATTTATGAGGGAACTCCCCAGTTGTGACGCACGGCGGCCACGCAATAACTGAATCATTGTCGGCTCGGTCATGAGACACTGACGGGTCTGTGTACTGATTGGCTGGGCATGTGCGGATCACAAGGCTGAACATTTCGGCTCAATCTTAGAATTGAGGGATTTCCGGTTACCATCTTTCCTCACAGTTAGTGAATCACATAATGTAGGAATAATTGAAAGATGGGGGTATGTACACGTGCGTGTACATTGTCCATCCACAGAAATATATGTGACACATGCATTTACCCCTAACTCCTTAACGTGATTTACTGGGAACCATACCCATCCTTGCAAATTCAAACACCATATGGGAAACTGCACACATATATTTCTGACTTTGATTCTGGAGGTGTGCCAACCCAATGTGAAAGACTGTCAGTTTAGGGGTACTGTACCCATCCTGACAGATTCCAACAAAACATGCCGTTGGGGTTTGCTGGGTTGAGTTCTGTTAGGGTTATTACATTAGTGTTCTACCACAAACACCAGTTCATTCACAGTCAGACTCATAGCTAAATTACGGAATTCTGTTATGAAATGATCCCTAATGTCTGTTGCAGATTCTTGTTATTTTTTAAAACGTGTACAAAAAACAACCAAAAAAACCCAGAAAAACCCACGATTGCAAAATTGAACACTTTTTCAAAACCTGGTAAAACAAATGGAAAAATGATACTTAACCCTAACCACCCCAACCTTTCAAAATCCAACTGTATGTTTTGTTGGAATTTGTTGGGATGAGGACTGCACTAGTAAACTGATTATGCTTCACACGGGGTCAGGCATACCACCGTAATCAGAGGCCAGCAGTTTGGGTGTTGAGTTTATGCAAGAGTGAGGAAGGTTCCTAGTAAATCACTCAAGGGGGTTAGGATTAAAGAGGTTCAAAAATTATGCGAACACCACGATGAAAACAGCAACAGAACAACTATTTTTTTCTGAATCATCCACATATGAAAAACAATGATATGTTTGTTGCGTTCAGACCAACCCACATATGCAAACCCCAGCTTTGTTTTGGTACCCGAAATCTAAATCGGTGTGAATACAAACCTAAGAACTCCATTCCGTTCGCTCTCGCGTGCTCCGCGAACGGCGACATGTAGTTGGGGTCATAAGCAAACTCCCTGGCTCGTTCTGCTATGGCGTTGACCGCACTTTGTATACTGCTAATCGTCTGATCCTGGAAGACAAAAACAGGAAGATTGCATTAGCAGCTTAACGAACGTCATCCCACTGTTCATGTATATGTGAACACAACAGGAACAAATCCAACAAACTGTGATTGTGCTCTCCTGTCGAATGAATGGATGCGTGTGCAATTTGCATTGATAAGCCAGTTCGGTATTTCAAATGGGACTATGTTTTCAACCTAACCCCACTCACATCCCGGGTTTCATTCCATTCCCCACCCTACGTATCACCCTACGTATCACCCTACGTATCACCCTATATATCACCCTACATATCACCCCACATATCACCCCATGCCTCCACCATCCCTTACCCTTTGTGAAAACTTGATCTTTCCAGAATAAGACTCTCGGGAATGTTATTTAACAAGGCGTCAAGATATGCATTCACACTCAGTCCTGTTCCCCGCCATGTCTCACCCGTTCCCCATCCTATGTATCACCCCATGCCTCACCATGTGTCCAACCTTGATTTTGCCTATGCTGTCAGGATTATACCATCTGGCATGTTATCAAACCGACTATTTGTTTACAAACGGATTCCCACTTGCCTCCCATCCCTTACACTATATATCTCAGCCCATCCCCACCCCATTCCTCACTCTATGTCTCACTCCGTCCCTCACCATGTACATCTCTCCTTGATTATTTCTTTCAGGAGAATCTCTGGCATGTTATCAAACAGGCCATCTGTTGCCATCAAGACTAAACATCCTGCCTCAACCCATTCCCCACCCTGTGTCTCACCCCATTTCTCACCCTGTCTCACCCCATCCATCTTCCTGTATCTCACCTTGATTTTGCATATTTCTTTCAGGATGAGACTCTCTGGCATTTTATCAAACAGGCCATTTATGGCCATCAGGACTTTTCCTGCCTCACCCTATTCCCCACGCCATGTCTCATCCCATTCCTCACCCTATGTCTCACCCCATACCTTGTCTAGTATCTCACCTTGATTTTGCCTATTTCTTTCAGAATGAGACTCTCGAGCATGTTGTCAAACAGGCCGTCTGTGGCCATCAGGACTAAGTCTCCCGCCTCACTCATTTCCCCACCCTATGTCTCACCCCATTCCCCACCCTATGTCTCACCCAATCCCTTGTCTAGTATCTCACCTTGATTTTGCCTATTTCTTTCAGGATGAGACTCTCTGGCATGTTATCAAACAGGCCGTCTGTGGCCATCAGGACGATGTCTCCAACTTTGATGGGGACACTTGAACTCGAAGCTGACTCGGGACTGAAAAAATAACAAACACAAAGTCTACTTCACTTCATGAAAACAATTGACCCCAGATCTAATGTCTCCATTTTTAAGTAAAGTCAAGCAATTCCTTTTCCAAGCTATTCTTTAATTTTGACTTTCCGTTTTCCACTTACCCCAGTTTTTTTCACAAAACCAAGCATATAAATTGGTAACTTTTTGAAAGCTGTGCACCTAGACTCATTTTCGTGGTGACTTTTTTTTCCTTTGAAGAAATACTCTGTTTTTTCTTCGAAGAAAATCTTCCGATGGATTTTTAAGGTAGTGGAAGGGTTAAGGCTAAAGCTAGTCTTAGATCAAGACGCTGTTGTATACACGATCACCTGCCGCAGGAGGCCTTATCCCAATGAATCACTATCGCCCATGAACCGCTACCAGCCCAATATCTCTGGAAGCTTGTAAATCTTCATCAGAAAAAATGGGGGAAACTAGTGCACATGCGCTCCTTCTGCAGGCTTCTGGTCTGTTTTCAGCCGCACGCGTACTACATGTACATACTACAAACAGCTGCCATGAAGTTGCACACAAGTCTGGTAGCATCTTGTATGCTACTGGCTGAAATTTCGCAGTTTGGTTCAGAGCTAGTATGCAAGGTGTTGAAGGCGCGCTGCATACATTAGGCAGAACAGGTGCGGGCGCATGACATCACCACTACAAAAAGACGTTGTTGTGGTTCATGGGTAGCAGTTCATTTTGATTATGCCTTCTTTAGGCAGGTGATTGTGAAATAATAATAATAACTTGATTTTAAGAGCGCCAAAGGATACAAGGCGCTTATTATTACCCTGCTCATTGGGTCAATGAAACATTCCTAACACCATCTCAGCTCCCTGGGGAGTATACAGCTAAATCAACCACAATAACCATCTTTGCACCTGGGTGGAGAGAAGCAATGAGTGACAAAGTGCCTTAGCCGCGGCTGCACTGGAACCCACCACCTGCGGAATTACCCGCAGACCATGTATCCAACATACAACAACGTCTTGACCCGTTGATTAAAGGTTAGGTTGATTTGATAAACCCATACCTGTCACTGAGTATTGTGTTCAACCCTGGGGGCGCTATTGAGAGCTGGAAGGGAGTGTTGAAGTAATGTTGCTGCTCCTCCGACCGGTGCACAACTTTACCCCCTCGGACAATCAGGAACCCTGAGTCCCCTAGGTTGGCCGAGTGTAATGTCTTGCTCTCGTTATCGATGACGATGATGCATGCTGTGCTGCTACCTGGAATGTAGGAAAGAAGACAACAAAAATGTTGATTGAGTTGAAGAAAATCTTGACAATGTGACACAAGTCAATTTGAATACTAAGTATTATTGCTACCGGTAAAAGTGTCTCCACAATTTCTGTAATTTTGTCATCTACAGTGATTTGACAGACAGGACTGAGCTAGTCACCGAAATGACTTCAAACACATAGTTTAACAAAAAAGTAACAAACAAATTGGCTTGTGAAATGACCAGTTGTTAGGTCTTTTTTAACTGTTGGTTGATTTCTTTCCGGTTACCTCTTTGCCAATTTACCTGGCCACTTGGTAAATTTAACCTGCCAGTAATCAATTATACCATATTGGTTTGGTTAAACAAAGTAACTGAAGTTGGGCGTGTAAGTGCATTGTAACACTGAAGCTCGGAAGGTCATGGCCAGAAACTAGTTGGTCAGTTAGCAACAGATGGCCCAGGTCCCACGTACAGTTTATAGAGTGGCTTGGCTGTACCAGCCAAGTCATAAAACAACCTGATGGATTTTGAAGGATCCAGGAGTGTGAGGGTCAATCAGTTAGTTAATGCATTACTGGAATTAAAGATAGATATCATCTGAGTAAATAGATACTGTTCATGTACGAGTTCCAAGAGATTGCCCAAAAGGTTACACGATTCACAAAAGACATTCTGCTAAATTCTCAAAATGTCATTACCATTAACTTATTGAAAATGAATTACTCTCCAAATGCTGAAATATGTTCGCTTGGTGGCAAAAGGTAGAATATTCTATTTTTTTTATTGAATTATTAAGAAAGAGTACATGTAAGCACCCATGTGGTCAACCCATTAGAAATGCCCCCGCCAGTTGCTGCTACCCCATCACCCCAGGATATCAGTTGAAAGGGAGCGCAAACCGGATAAGGAGTCAAGACCTCAAGACCTTATTGGGCATGCTGAAGGAGTGCGTACACACGAGACAATACCACTGTCTCCTGTGATGCCCCCAGTCTCCTGCGATGGCAAACTTTTACTTTTAAAGGGAATATACATCATTTGCTTTTGCTGTAATTTTCAGAAATGGATGGAATTGGGGGGTTGGAAATATATAGCAAATATAGTTACACTGACTTTTTTGAGGTTTGGGTCCGAAAATGCTATAAAAACCAAGAAAAACAATCATTTTCCTGTAGTCTGGTTCCCTGACTCCATATAAGAAGAAACAGAGTAGTTTACATACATTGGGGAATTGTAAGGTCAGGGAACCAGTCTAGCTGGCTTGTACCCGTTCATAGGTGTGTAATCGATTGCAAACAAGTGCGATGGTCAATTGGGGCCAGTATTTGGAAAAAAAGCCAGTTTTTTCCAACGCTGGTCGGCCGATCCAAAAATACCACTTTTCTTGAAAATGACAGTATACCAGGTGCCATGATTTTACAGGATGCTTTACCCTGTCATTCACTAACAGTCCAGCAAGGTATCTCAAAATGATTTGGTAGTTTTATTTTTTGATGTTTGCAAATGTTGTATTTTCCCTTTAACCCGAGTGTCTGACTTGCCCACAGGGACGCCAGCCTTTTGTTGCCATTTCAGCAGAAGTACAACCACAGGACAGTGACTGTATGGCGACACTTATCGCTGACAAAAAGTGGCAACACGTTTACAGGCGCTGCTCTAAGTGACTCTTCACTGCTTGCACTGCAGGCACTTGTATGATATTTTTAGACCGAAGAATTTTTTTTTTACATGTCTCAGACAGGAAGCAGCTAAAGACATTGCCAGAGCTAAAAGCTTCCATAATTGATGCACGTACATGTAAGAGTCTCCACAACTGGCCATATTTTACATTCTTGTCAACGACTCAATTTACACAGATTCATTTTTCAAAAATTGTTGGCTTACTAGTACATGTATGGCTACAATGTATAAGTAAAATTAGAAAGCTGAGAAAACTGCACAACTAAGGCGAAATAAAAAGAAAACATGTTTAGCGTCCTGCCTTTTTAAAAAAATAGGAAGCGGGAGGCCCCTTTTTTTCCCCTCCAAAATGGCCGCCCGACCGGGCTATTTTTCAAGATGGCCGCCAGGTTTTGTTTAAATGGCTTCAATTGGACTCAGGTAATGACATAACAGATTTATATGGGCTAGATGCATCAAGGCCAAAATGATGTCGCTGCGAAAATTTATAATTTTTTCGGTAAAAAAAAAGGGAAAAAAAGGAGCGGTCTCCAAAAAGGAAGCGGGTGGGGACGCTGAACATGTTTTTTTTAATTTTGCCCAATGCATATTAGATGTCACATCCTTGGGGATTCTAACAAGTAATTTATAGCTGTCGATCCTAGCAGAGGCAAAGCCTAGATAAGCACTTTCAATTGAAATGAGAATATATCGCTGGGAGCCACCAACCTGATGGAATGATTTGAGTAGTTGCTACATGTATGGATCCTTGCAGGGTTTGGGACAGAACTGGCAGGGCAGAGGCTTTCAATTGTAAAGCCACATGGATTTTCAAGAGCTGGACTGAATTTGAACTGTCTTGTGCATTTTGCTGGAAGCTATCTACATGTACATCCATCCTGATTAAATTCTTGTAAAAAAAATATAATGGCACAAACTTCACACTTCAGAAAAATTGGGACAGTGAATCCATGTAAAGTAGTGGCTTTTTGGTGACAGATCTGAATCAGCTAACCACCTGAAGCCAGGATTATTTTTGGCCGAAAAACACCATTTTTGAAAAAAGACAAGATATTTCGGCCAAATTTTAAAATCAAGTCAAACACAACAAATATTTACTGACTCTTGAGAGTCATCTGTACAGTATTTGTAGATACTTCTCACCGTAACTAAATATTTTGCGACACTCTTGAGGCCACGCCATGGAGCGATATTTGCTACGATGACTACGATACACCGGCCTAGTTCAAGTTCAAAACACTCTGTGTACAAAACCAATGGGACCCACTCGCGTGTATATACACGTCCACCGCCCCCTGCGAATATACCGGTACATTGACATTGTCACATTGACATTGACGTGTACACCGGCCTAGTCCAAGTTCAAAACACTCTGTGTACAAAACCAATGGGAACCACTGACGTGTAAATACACGTCCACCGCCCCCTGCGAATATACCGATACATTGACATTGTCACATTGACAATGACGTGTACACCGGCCTAGTTCAAGTCCAAAACACGCTGTGTACAAAACCAATGGGAACCACTGGCGTGTACATATGTACATACACGTCCACCGCCCCCTGCGAATATACCGGTACATTGACATTGCCAGATCGTGTATACACGTCCTCCCGGGTTAACTGGTTAAACTTCATGCCAAAGTAACCGTATCTAACCATACCTACATGTATCCAGATGGTGGAAAAAATACATAAATGACAAAAAAGCTCAAACACACCTTGCACAATCAATGTTGATTTATGAAATGCATTTTGAAATGCATAATTTTTGAACGAGTACATCCAACATCAGTGGCTGGAAAATGTCTGAACTTTAGTTTCCATTTTGCATTCAAGTAGGCCAATCTTCAGTTACATTAAATGTGTTAGATACTTTGAACAAATTCTAAAGCTAAAGTCCATCATTTGCAGCCATCCGAAAAAGTAACTGGCGTATTATTGTTGAAAAACATACTTGGTTGAAAGATAGTAAGTGGATTAACTCCCTGTGAAATTAATCTTTCTGCCAAGCTTTCATTTAAAAGTAATCAACGAAAGAAGGCCTTTCCAACGGTGCATCTTAAGATGCACCGTAGGAAAATTTAAATTAGTAGTTTGTTTTGTTATTCGGCGCAGCGCGCACAAGCATTGGACGACGCACAGGCGCACGCGGTTGCTATAATTCGTCGGATCAGTGCGCGACATCGCGTATAGCTGCAATTCAAAACAATTCAAAACATGATTCAGCAACTTTTGATTTGAAATTGAGATTCTAGAATGCTGTTTTTCTCGGAATATACAGCTGAAGCTGAGCTGAAACTTCATCAGGTTAGTTGTTCAGTATCCTTCATTACATTTTGAACACTGTTGTTGCTTCAAACGAACAAAATGCACTAATTACAAATGATGGACTATATCTTTAAACCAACATGTCACCCAGAAATGAGTTTATGAAAAGTGCCCAGGCACTGACAGGCAACTAATGATTCTGCCAATTACACATTGGACAGTCAAAATTGCACGTACACACGTAATTAAGAAAAGAGGCACAGAGCAACTGAATAAAGGCAATGAGTTTATAATGTATCACCGCCTATTTACTGCCTTGCATATATAGGCAGCCATCACTTTCCATTAACCCACAAACGGATGTCCGTGCACAAATGCACAGGGCTTGTGTACACCTTCTCCATAGTAACCAACTCGGCCTTTTATTAATTCACAAACCTAAGCTTTTCCGGTGGACAATAAACTGTGAAAGAAAAAAAAATTCAAAGAGCGTTTCCAATCCAATAAATCTGCAATTGTGACACAAAATTGGTTCCATTACAATATTCTTTTGAAAGAAGTTTAGGTCAGAGGGAAATTAACCCTAACTCCCTAGCGTCTTTTACGACGAACTGGACCAAGTCCATCAAAATCCATCAATCACTGTGCTTCCAATACAAAACTGTACATGACATAATGGAATCCACCACGGACGCACTGGTTGACATTCATGGACTTGTTACACATGGCTTTTAGCAGTACAGGAAGCTAGGCAAAATCAATCGAATACCCCTAGCACTGCTTCAGGCCATTAGGCCCAAGTCCATCATAGTCCATCAATATTTAGTCTTGCCAGGCCTTCTGGATGGACCAAGTCCCTCAAAATCCACCAAAGTGGAGGGGGGGGGGATAGATTTTGATGGAGTTGGGACGGTTAGGGTTAAAAAGAAAAAGAAAACAAAAACAAACTTGGCAATTACTCACACTGGAATATGTATCCCACCGTGGAGTCATTTCTTTGTTCTCTTGTACATGTTCTAAAATTTTAGAGTTTGAAAGTCTACTTACTCAA